AGGGCAGTCCTGTCCATGGAGGCATAGCATTAGCTTTCCAGTGCAGCACATGGCCAAATCATTCTGTCTAAATAACAGGGAGGGTGGCACCGTAAACACAGACTTGCTTGGCTTTGTCGAGCTAATGACTTCCTGCTCCAATGGCTTGTGAAACCGTTTTGGAGCCAAAATAAGTAAAATCGGGAGCAGAATTTAATCTGTCACTCAAAGAAAAGCCTTTAAGCAGAAACATACAGCCACCCAGAGGATGTACGCAAGTGAAGTGAAATTACAGCAAAAGCTTCCTGGCACACAGTGAAGCAGCAGAACAGGTTGTGTATAGGAATGAGGATTACAGATTGGTTGGATAAATAAGGGATTCTTTAAAGCAAAATACACTGAGGGTGAATGTCAACCAAGGTGGTAATCTAAAACCATCAATCCCTTTGAATCTAGGTAAGTGTCACCTATCTAGAATATAGATTGATGTGGGAAGGAAGACTGTGCTTGCTCTTAGTTTTTGATCTTCCTGTATTTCCCCAAGGTTGGTTTTGAACTGCGTAGCTATGCAGCAGTCATATTAACAATCCAAGTGTTTCAAGATAGTGTGAGCAAAGTTCAGTTTGCCTTCCCAACACTGCAGAATTAATAATTTCTAAGAATTGTTTGTTTCCTCTGCAGTCTCCTGGGAAAACGGGATGGGTATGATGATAAGTTACTCTGGGGTAGATGAGCTAAAATTAATCAAAAACATCAGTGACTTGTTTTTCTGCCTCTTTTCTAACCTCCTTTTCTTCAGCTGTCTTCTGGTGGTAAATTTAAAACAAAATTGCAAATTATACCTTACAGCAAACCTACATTGATTCTGTAAACAAACAACAGAATTTACTTATTAAAAACAACCTTAAAAACTACTCATTACAATAGTAAGAACAGACAACCCCTTTCAAAGGCCATGATGAAGTACAGGATACAAACTTAAAGTATTGTATGTAATGTGAGTGACTCCAACATACTGTAGAAGCAATGCAATGAAATTTGCCTTTTTTTTTTTCATTGAACAAGTTTATTCTGAACCACTGAAATCAGTTTCCCGTCTCCCACATTAATATATATCTGAAGAAAAAACAAAAACAACAGAAAATAAGACATAAAATGCAGATTAGTGTCTTTTGAGAAAACAAGCAAATAGCAAGCCAAGCTTTTCTTTGCACATGAGCAGATATTCCATATACACATGCATATATGCTTCCTTATTGAAATCTACCTAGTCATAATTTAAATAGATTTTAAAGTTCATATGGTCACAATCATCAGGTACATCATTATCATTCTGTAAGGCCAAATATAGAAATGTCCAAGAGAGTTTTATGTCTGGACAGTATCATGTTTAAATCCTATTTTTGTCACTTCTGAGCTGATCACCTAAATGTACTAAATTACAAGAGAAGACTGGCTTTAATTAAAGGTGTATTTATGGCAGTATTCTATCGGCTAATATAAAGTATATGAGTGGCTAAATGAGTAAGACCCTGATACAGAAAACACTCCCAAAATGTACTGCTTTAAAGGCAAGTTTCAATCTTCACACGATCCTCTGACAAGTCTATAAGATTTGTATTCTGAGTTAAAAAAAAAAAAGTCTCAGGATAACAGCAGGATTTTGAAGGCTGCTTATTGGTGGCCATGAACAAACTTCCTAACATCCAAATGCAGCTTGCTCACATGCAAACAATGATCAGTCTAACATCTCACTGTATTAGTTTTGGCAGCTTGTGTGCTGAATATTATTTTACTGCTTGAACCAGTGTAGCCAATTAAAAAAAAAAAAAAAACTTCAATTCAAGACGATCTGCACTGAAAACACAAGTAACTCTGCAACTGAAGCATCAAAATGGACTTTGTTATACTGTATATCTGAAAATGGAATATTACTCCACAGGATTTACCAATAAAAGAAGCTTTAGTTCATTATGTACAACAGAATTCTAGTGTTTGTGCATCTAAATCGAGAATACACCAGACACTTCTGCATTTACATGGTCTAAAAAAAAAAAGAAGCTCCTTTATAACAGCAAACAAATACATTCCCTTTGAACCTCAAGAAACATGACAAACGTGAACAAATGATCTCTGAGCTGCAAAAGCCAATTCTAGCATGTACTCCACTTAAACACAAGAATAAATCAGGAACATGACAACCTTATCCTAATAAATACTTCTCCTGCTAGCTTTAGAAACTCTTTTCATTGGAATTTCATGGTTATGTAAAGGCTTTGATTCCATATATAATATTACAGATCTATGTCTACTATATATATACACACACATTTAGATCAGATTTTTCTTTAACTCTGTTTCTCAATATTTCAAAAAGTATAAAGAATGCCATCCTTAAAACATCTAACAGCTTGGTTCAAATGGGTCCATATTTTCCAAAATTATTTTACTTTGATATCAGCAATCATGACTTAGCATCACTTTGTTCAAACAATGGATATCTCGGCTTGGAACAAGAGCCACATGTAAACTTACAGCAAGCTAATTAATTGAAAACGGGTTAATTCCTCCCAATGTGCTCGTCCACATTAATGGGGAAGCGATAAGAACAGTCTTAATAGTTTGTGAGACCATTTTGAAGACATCCAGCCTGAGTGGGTTTATCTAAATCCTCTTGGCAGAGCTATCTGAAAAGTCAGAGGAGAATGCTGAGGGGTGCTTTAATTTGCCTGAAAAGCAGCTCTTATAAATAAAGCAGTGACAGACGTTGTACTGATAGCACTCAACTTTACTGTTTTATGCCGACTGCCTAATTCAATATGTTGTGTTAAAAAAAAAGAAAAACACACTTTAACCAAAGATTCAACAGGATTTCATGATGGCTATGCCATAACAAGGAAACTGTAACAAAAATGGCCATGCAGCCTGTTTGAAAACACTATGCCTTTACTCTGTCCTTGCCTCTGCAAGCAGCTGGCCTCTCTTGCTGGCTGTGCAGTGGCTGTAAAGTGGGGAGGAAATAATCACGTCCCTCCTGTGTGTTTAGAGTCTATGAAAGCACGAGGTGACCTGAGTTTGGCTTATGATGCTCTCTCTCCCAGTGTGCCTTCGTTGTCACTCTGCCTCGGCGAATGCTTGCTGGAGTCTCTGTCCACCTCATCCTCTTCATCAGACTTGCCAACACTCAGGTGTCTCCGGTACACAGGAGGGCTATAGGGGTCAAAACACATAGAGACACAGCATTATATCATGACTTGACTACTTAAGAGTAGAAACAACACAAAGATGTAGAGAAGAAAAAAGGTTGTTTCAAAATATGGGACAGGAAACCACAAGCAATTTAGGCTGCAAATTTATACTCCTCCTCAGGCAGTAAACAGCATCTCCTGAAGTGTGCATGGCATATGTGTACTATGTTATCATGGTTGCTCACAGTACTAATCTTTATTTTTAATTAGTACACTATAAGGGAAAAGCATGACATATCTTCTTGGTGTCAGGTCCCATTTGAAAGAGTTATTTGGATTAAACCATAGACATCCTTAAAAAATAATTATAACACCGTGCAGGTAAGACAAAGCCACAAGTATCCACACAAATATTTACACTTTCCATGCAAACACACTGTGACTGTGTCACAATGTTCAAATATTAGTAAACAGTAAAAAAAATTAGTGAGACAAATGTCAGGGATTAATTCCGCAGCGGTGAATAACTCAATAGCTGAAAAGAATTCTGTGCTACATTGTACCTTGCTTCTTGTAACCTACCATTCTCATTAAAGGTCATTTAAGAGCGGGGCTTTACATCCTTAGATTATGTTGCCATGACAACACATGACATGACAATCACTCACTGCATTACTTGAATGGGAGCTTAATTTACTGCAGAGACTTCATATATCCAGAGTGTCATGTGCACTGCTCTTTAAATACACATCCCAAGTACAGCAAGCAAAAAAGCAGCTGAAACACATAATATGTATTTTAACTTCTCAGTTCTTCAAGTAGCTTGATGTGAGACATTAAAATAAGTGTTAAGAAAGGGTACTGAAATGTCCTAATCACTTTTTTCACGTGTCTAACTACAGTGAGAGAGAGAGCCTGTGTAGAAAGGACCTGTTCTGATCACTTTTTGGGTTTAGCTGTTGTTGCCTTGTAACTGGGTATTAGTGAGCAGCACTCTTGGTACTCTGCTGGTGCAGGAGCTCTATAGTGGCATTATAGGTAAAAGTAAACTCAAGGAAAATACTGAAAATACCTCCCTCTAAAACACTATTTTGGGTTGTACACTGGCAAACGGGTTGACATACTGTATGTGCCAGTACCATAATCAGTCCACTAAACTTGGCTTAATTCACCCTCCAGTGATTAACCAACGAGCTGGTGTTCAAGTGGAAAGTACAACATGTTCAAGGACAACTGAGAAGAAAAAAACTGAAGACTAAAGTCTTGCATTGTTTAAATCACACAGGAACAAAAGTGTCAGTTATAGGCTTTTGATGCTGAAAGCTAATTTTAGCATTGTAATTATGATGCAGTGTTCAAATCAAATTATGTCAACAGTCATGTCACACCTCTGTAAACTCTTAATTAACCTGTTAAAGCAAAAATTGGTGTAATTTTGTTTTTGTCTCATTGCCAACATCTGTTAGAAAGCTTGAAGAAAAAACCCACCAGACACCACTTTTGTACCAACACTATGTACTTCTAACGTCATCAAGCAACATTAGGGGGGGGAAAAAAACACACATTTGCAGAGATGCAATCTATCGTTACGAAACAGAAACAGGAAGGAAAACAACACTAGTATGTCTGATGACTAATAGTTAAGTGTACTGTTTGTGATGGCTTGGAGTGGGATGAATAAATCTTAAAGCAACAAAAATACCCATTTGGACAAATTACAGCACAATGATGGATTATAGTCTACCACAAAACGTATCAACAGTTGTCTATAATAGCATTTTGAAATGGAGTTGTAGTGACTGGAGTGTGTCAGTAACACAAACTAGATGTGTAACAAACTAATGTATACTGCAGTAGATTGATGATTTTTTTTTTTAAATTAAGACAAATGTGAGCAAAAGTAAAGACAAGTACTTTGGGTGGGATGCTCTAATTGGACAACGTTGCTAGGTCTCATCTAGTGCACGTCAACATAAAAAGGATTATTCACAGAAGCAATAAATACAAACCATTTGCACACAGCAAACTATGTTAGTAAGTTAAATATCAATTTCCATTATTCCAGGCTCCTGAGTTAATACCACAGCAAGCATCACCTTCCGCTGTTGGTATCAGTCACTGTCAGGCCTGTAGAGGTACTTCATCATCAAGCTATCCACCTTCTTCTGCTTCTTCTTGGTTTCCTTCTTACTAGCTGGCCTATGACTCGCAGACTTCTTCTTCTCATCTTCATCAGATGGTTGTTTCACGACCCTTTTAACACTGCTGGAACTGCGGTAGGAGACGGTAGAGCCGGAGGAGGAGGAGGAGGAATCTGATGACTCTGAGGAGGAAGAGGAATCCTCAGACTCACTTCGCTTCTTCTTAGATCTCTTCTTGGACTTCTTGCCTTTCTTCCCCCTTGAGCTCTTTTTGCTGTGACGATCATCTGAGGAGGAGTCATCTGACGGAGAGGCTTTGCTCTTTTTGCCTTTATGACTGCGGTAGCTGCTGGTACTCAGGGTGCTGGACGGGCGATTGCCATAGTCCAGAGCAGAGCCCGATGAAGAGCGGCGCAGGCTGGATGTGCTGCACCCAAGCCCCACGTCTTCTCCCTTCTTCCTACTGTCCTCACTTCCTGGACCCTTCTTCTCATCCTCCTCCTCACCACTTGACTCATCAAGTTTGCTGCGCTTGAACTTAATGGGTTTGAAACTCAGCACCTCATTGATAGCAGCTTCCAAATCAGGGTCTAAGTAATTGCGGTGGGTGACTGGTTTAATGTCAGATGTATCTGGCAAAGTACCATCTGAGGAGCGTGGCTGGGCCGGAGTAGAAAAGCTGCGACTGGCTGAACGGGGACTGTAAGATGAAGTCCTACCCTCACTAAAAGCCACACTACGGTCATCATCATCACCCTCAACATGAAGGCCAAATTCACTGAGGCCACAGCTGCGGGCAAGGGACAAGCGTGAGCTACTGCGTTTGTCGTCTTTCCAAGAAGAGCTGCGATGCAGCAATCGGGGGCTGGAGCGGCTCACGCTACTGATAGTAGACTTGTTGTCATCATCCATGTCCAACATACCCCTCCTGGTAGACATCCTGCTAGAAGCCACTGAGAACACCTTAGACTCCTTGTCTATTTCAGGGCTGCTGCGGGAGGTCCAGCGGGACTCCAAGCCCTTCCTGGCTCTGCTGGTGGCCTCAGAATAGGCCAAGGAGATGACAGAGCCTTTGTCGTCTAAGTCTTCCTGTGCCTGGCTCTTCTTCCAATCCTCCTGGAGCTCTCCGGACTTAGACTTGGCTTTGCGAACTGATGTGTGATCTGGCGTGTCAGGCTGTTCTTTGAGAGTGCTAAACAGGGAGCTCTCATCTCCCGTGCCCCCTATGGAGTCTTTCAGGTTGGAACGCTTCCTATAGCTTAGGGAACTCATGACAGACACTGATCTGTTCTGCTCTGCCTCTTTCCCATTTTTACCTCCATCATTCATCTTCTCTTTAAGTTCTTTTACATCTTTGGCATCAGCATTTGCTGAGTATCTAAAGGATCACATAATAAAGTTGACAACAGAATAAAAAGGGAAAAAATAAAACAAAAAAACAGTTCTTATCTTAATTGTATACAACATGCAGTATGTAAACCCACAGCTAATATGTGCTAATGAATTTAAATGCCATGATATGCACCTCTGATGTCAGACTATTACAGAATAAATCAGTCATTTTCACTTTGTCCTTGGGACGAGTTAAGAGTCTGAGGACTTGTACAATACCTCTGACTATGGCTGTTATGTACAGTATACACTGGAACAAGTGAGGCAATCAACCAGTGAGAAGATCTATCCAACTGTGGTGGAGGTGTCATTTAGCAGGCGTGCCAACTGGCCATGGGCCATTTCAATAAATCTGAGAGCAGTCGCTTCCCCATTCCACCTCCTGTCATTAGACAGACTACCAAAAGAGAGAGATGACACCTAATCACATGAAATACCCTCCCTTCTGTTGCAAACTGCCCCTGGGCATTTGAAAGCCTGGGAATGTAGGTAGTTTTATCACTGGGTTACCACAGGGATGCACAGAGTCACATGTACAAATGCAGAAGGACATGAGCACTAACCTGGTGCTCTTCAGGCTTCCCTCATCTGACAAAGTCTTGGTGGATCCTTTATTTTTTGAGAGCCAAGACTTAACTCCATCCACACGGTCCTCCACCTCTGAGTCGGTTTCTGCCTCATCTCCACTGTGAAGACAAGAAATCAGCTCAAGTTTGTGAGAAGCAGCTGACATGCCAGCACATCACAAAAAAAAATATTCACCTAAACAAGTCACCTTTACTTTAAGTGCGCACATCTTTCAATCCAATGAGATCATTCTAAATTTTGTTGTAATGTTAATGAACTTATTTTAAGAATTTTCCCAAACCCTCACTCAACTTCTTGCTACTATAAAAATAAACTGCCTTAATCATTACAGTTATCATTATAATTCAGAATCAATTCAGATTGCAAACCAAAAAAAATCCATTAAATGACTTGTCTGCGAATATTGTATGCAGTGTAACATTACAGTGTTTGCACATGCAAAGTTATGACTCACTTTCACATCTTAGAAGCTTTTTGTGAGTAATTTCACAATAAAAACTTTTTGTTTTTAACTTATTATTTCCAGTGGCAGGGGTCAGTATGATGCAAATCAACCCAGACAGACTACAGGTAAGCATGTGATACAACAATATCTACTTATTCAAAATGTATTTTAATAGACATAGATGAGGGAGGCAAATGAATTATCTAGGCAGAATGCAGATGAAGCTCTTGGAGGCATAATTAACTCGTTTGGCTGGTTCTGGGCCACTAGCATCTGTGTGGCATGTCACCTGCTTCTGGTGATTGTTATTGGAGTGGAGCCATGAGGCAGCCCCATGGCACTGTGCTTGACATAACAATCAATATACAGGGACAGATCATGATGAAAAAGCTCAGTAGAGCCCACCTGGATAAGGTCACTCCTTATTCATTTGTTAAAAATCTATGCTGTGTTTTCTTAATGATGCATTCCATTGTCCCAGAAGGTTGAAGTAACAGGAAATGGTGAGGAGGAGGAGGGTAAACTGGCATAACCTCTAACCTCATTTCCCACATTTCAACCAGCAAGAGAAATGCATTTAAAAAAAAAAAAAATACTCCCTTTGTTTCAGTGCACTCTGCTTCCAACAACAGTGCTAAACCCACTGTCTTCCTTGGCTACATAGAGAGTGAAAATTATTTTTCACATTTCACATAAACAGTTTTAAAACCGCACACAGGCACATATGTTCCGAAGGCATAAACCATGTTTGACATGTGCTGCTGTGCTAAGTTCTGTCAGAGAAAATTACATTCTCTACAATATGGTTTTTGGTTTCAGAGCAAGACGGCATAGTGTATATTAATAACACTGTTGACAGGGTTGTTGTAGAGGAGCTGCACATTTCAATTCCTCTTGATTTACAGCAGACTTTGAGTTTCATCTTCACTATTATTCATAGCTTTACAACCAGCAATTTTCAGGGAGCCATGCTTCATCAATCTAAAATATTTGCCTTGTATATCACTGAATTGTATATATTTATATATTTATCCAGCGTCTACAGATGACTGAGTGTCATTAAAAATGAGACACAGCGATGCGGGTAACAGACCTCGGTTCTTGAACGAGCATATCCATCTAAACCTTGGAACATGTTACAAAATGCATATAAGCAATCGGAGTTTTTGTCACCACTTTGTGCCACACATTCAGCCATGTTTCCTCAGAGAACAAAGAGTCCCCTCTCCTTTCTTCTTCTCAGTGGTCTGCCTAAAAGCTTCTCTTTTTTTTTTTAAACACAAAGGCGGTGGTGGAGCTGAAGGTGTGTGAGCATTGTGAAGGAGTGAGCACAGACTGAAAAATGCCTCTGATTCTTGAACTGACTGGCATTCAGCCATTCAAGCTTTCTAAGAGCATTAACATATTTAACTTCCTCATCATCACCCTTACGGCCAGGCTTTCTGGGGGGAATGGCAATAATGATCCCGGAGAGACTAAATGGCCCGATTATATTATTTTCTACAAGGGGAAAAAACTGTTCATTTTAGAATTTGAGAGGTGCTTCATGAGGCAGCAAGCTAAAATTGTGAGTCCAAGTTCAGCTATTATATGTCATCCCTTTTTCCCCACTCCATCTTTTCTGGACTGCATGCTAAATGTAAATGATAAAAGCTCACCACAAAAAACGTTTCACTACACTACCAAGATGGTTACGCATGCTTCCCAATCATCAGCTCTGTGATGCTCTGGCTTTTTAACATGGCATATTACACGGCAATATACTGAAACCAGCCCAGAGCAAAGCCCCCTCTTCCCCCTATCTCTAACACATGAAATAAAAGGTGGCTTGCAATTGAGTGCTGTGCAAATGGTGTCACAAACGATTTGTCCTTTGCCCCACGCTACTAGCTAACATGTCCTGAGGCTCGTAGATACAAACAAGCCCCAAGAATCTAGAAATGATCATGAATCGCTTCTGACAATCGGCCTGCACTGGTTATAAATCTTTCTCACAAATACTTAAACTAAGCATCAAATTTCGTATGGCTCAGTTCTATCAGGTTAACACTTGTGGTACCAGCACCATGTTTTTGATGGTCTGGTACAACACGAGCCAATCGCATATTGACAATACAGCACATATGTCAAATCAAGTACAAAAACAAATCATATTAATGTAAATCATCTGGAAAATCTGCTTCATAATTAGAAGAAAAATCACCTCATACATTATTGTTCATCCATGCTGCTAATGCAACAATGTCAAAGGATGGAAAAATGCAATTAAGTAAATACGGCAAATCACTGATCTTTTCTGTGAGTCGCACAAAAAGAAATGATACACACCGGTTGTCTGATGACAAATGGATAAAGCAAACTGATAGAGAGTGATACCTATGTCTCTTTGAACAAGCCTTCAGAGGTTCAAGAAGGAAATTATGCACGTTTATATATCTGCTACAAACTGAAGACAACACTTCTGTCATATGCTCTGATGGTTTAAATTATTTAACACGCAACAAAAAATCCTTTCACTGCGTAAAACTTCACAAACCAGACAAGGTGAATATTTGTGTGTCACGTTAAATAAAATGAGGTTGGATTAGTGAAGCATTCGCATGCATGTAGATCAACAGCAGCTTTGGGTGAAAACATTTCTGTAGTGCACTGTGCCATCACTGTCTTGAACCACTTGCTGACTGTGCAGTCACAGTGTGCTGCAGTCACAAGTACTGCTCACACAATTCTGCTTTAGCTCTTCCAGAGCAAATGTCTCCCACTAAACTAAGCTAAAACAGGCCAATCATCTCTTCATGACATACTTAGAAAATGTATACAACTGATTTCACTGGGAAAAAAAGCAGACTTATATTTATACTGTTTTACTTATATTTCTACTGTTTTGCCTATTTTCAACTGGAAATATGTTGAAATTTTTGAGACAAGTTGTTTTTCCTTAAAAATAAACTGAGTTTTACATTATTTTTTAAAACGGCTTCGACAATAAACTGGCATATGATGAATGTGTTGCTCAGTATGTATGTACCCCTACAGCATACCTGTGTTAAAATTACTCTAGGGAAGCTCTACTGGAAATGGAAATGGTTTCTAGTTAGTTATCTTTTTCCTTTAGCATAAAGTACAGCATGATCTTCATTTTACTGTAGCTTGTTTTCAGGTTATACTGTAATAGCTTAAACTCTGGAACATGTCAAAGATCAATCTCTTTGCTCTTCTTATTTCTTAGCATCTGAAAAACATAGGAAACAAAATGTACAAAAGTGAAATACAACTATATGGACTCCTCACACTAGCTTAGTGAGACATGCTATGGAAAAGCCACTAAGGAGGAGAACACAGGTAAAAACAGTGGCGTTCAGTGCAAACCAACTTTAACCCTAGGTCCAAACAAATGCATACTGAAGGTTTATGTCGACACTGAAAATGTAGAAGAAGGTGCTGCTTGATACAAACTTTTTCATGTAGACAATGATGCAGTATTCCTGCACTTCAGTCATATTTCAAACAGGAGATAGACTGGCTTGAAGGAGGATGCCGGTGTCATTTAGAGTTGAATGCTATTTACCATTGTAGTTTACATTTCCTCTAATACTCTAAGTATCCTGCATGACATCAAATTTTTCAAATTACTTTATGCTGCTCTGAAGGTGAACAAAACTGTACAGAGACACCTCCAGACACCTGGTACAATGTAAAATGAAACTAAATGAAACACCGGGGCCACCCTTCAGGCATAGCTTTTATCATTTACATTTATACCATAGGCACGGCTTTCTATCTATTTAAAATTTCTTCTCCTCATAGTGTTACTGTGACCAACACGAGCTGAAAGGATAAGGAATACTGCATTATTGTCTGTTGTGGTTAAAAAGGGTGAGAAAAAAATAACGACAGAGACAAAGAATGCATTTTCTGTTCTCACGTTTTGTTCTTTCTTTTCTGATATTTTGTCACCACGTCTTGCAAACTGCCAGAAGTGAGGGAGACACCAAAGGGGGAACAAAAGAGAGAGAGAGAGAGAGAAACAAAGAAGGTGAGACACACAAACAGTGCCAAAAAAAAAGAGGACAAAAAAAGGTTATCAGCAAATAAATGGTTTTACATTTACACGCGCAAGTGAATTGACTATCCGTTGTAAAACAAATCAGTAAATCAATTTGTGCTGTTGCTGGCCTCCTTCTCAAACACAGCCAGTGTGTGTAATGTCTTCCATTTAGAGGTCTGTATTACCGAGGTTAGTGTTTACCTCAGTGGGCTCAGAGCTAGCATAACCCTCACCCCCACTGCAAAGAGGGAGGGAGTAACCAAACAGGGAAAACCAGCACCGAGACAGAAGATCAGAAGCGGGGAACCAAATTAAACCATGTGAGAAGTGTTTGGGGAACAGAGAGAGCGAAGTCTGACTCGGAGACTACAAAAGAGGTTAGAGAGAAATTGATGTAAGAAGATGTGGGAGATAGAGAATGAAAAGACACAAGTTGTGATTGACAGGAAACTAAAAAAAAAAAACAAAACCCAACAGTTCTCATTTGGTAACTTTCGCACAACTTTGGAAGACAATGTGCTCCAACTACACACAGCATTCCCTGATGTACCAAGCCCACATTACAGACCTACTGAAGCAAAGGCAACTGTGTCTTCCTTTGGAGAAGATTAATGCTGCGCTGTACCTGTTGATTAAGTCATCATTGTCATCGCTCTCCATCTCGTCCTCAATGGCAGCCTGCAAGTCACCTATTCTCTTGAAGGCCAGCTTAAGGTCCACTTGTAAGCTCTGATTTGCCGCCTCTAGGCTCTCAATGTCCATTTCCTGGTGAATGGATCACAGCACAGAGGCAGCATGGTTAACGTACCTCCTCTTGTGTAAACCTCATGGAATTACTTCAAGCCTCATGTCACCCAGAGCCTTACCAAGTCATGCTTCTTCCGGGTTGCCTCACCCTCCTTCTTGGACAGCTCTGTCATTTCTTCCTTCATGTCCCTTATCTGCCTCTGCATTCGCTTATTCTGGTCTTTCTCCCTGTTTTCTGCAGCAATGTGCTGGTTTCTCTCCTCGGTCATCTTCTCGAGGTTTTCCTTCAGACGAGCCACCAGGGTCTGGGGTGGAGTCGACATGAACTTGGTGAACTCAAAAGGGTCACATTTGAACAACTCTTAAGCTAAAGTAGCCCCAGCTTGTGCCGCTCATGTATTACATACACTCAAGTCAGCGATCGAGTCACGAGCTGGAACTAAGCTAAAGTACAGCACAGTGTTTGTTCCACTACAGCTGATTTGTTTTTACATTGCCAGTCAAATGTTTGGAGACACTTTCCTATTCAATACAATGGGAAAGTGTCTCCAAACTTTTGACTGGTACTGAAAATAATATTATAGGTGACTATTTCATCTCAACTTTTTTTTTTATTTCTAATACAAAAGAGGACTAATCAGTATCTGACATTAAAGCACCAACATGAACTACTGATTTTCATTTCAAGTTTAAAACAGTCCTGTGCTTTTCTGAATTATGAATCAAAACCTATTTATTCCTTGGTGGATGGTTTTTGTAACAGCAGCTCAAAGACATGGACAAGGACCTTCACTTTATATTATCTCTGCCTCTTGATGAATAAAAAATTAAATGTCAAATTTGCATTTATAAGGTTCACAAAGACCCGCAGGATTATCTCACCTCCAAGCGTTTGATCTGTGTCCTCTCATACTCCAGCTTCGTCTCCAGCTCACGGATCCTGGCCTCCTGACGGCTCACCAGAGACTTTTCCACCATAGACTGTTCTTGGAACTCTAGCTGGCTCTGCAGCGAATGAAGCTGTAGGAAGGACACATGCATATATCCACATAAACAAAAACAACTCACTACCTGTGGAGAATCACTCAGTACATGCCTCCTTCCTGACCCCAGATTTTCCACTTCTTCTTAAGTGAGGACCAAAATACTTCATGCTGATGCTATGTTTATGTATTAAAACTAAATTAATGTTCACCTTTTCACCCTTTCTTGAGTAAATTTAATCCATTTTGATACATGTAAATATTGTGCACCCAGTTTGAATAATGAGCTCCAGATAAGCTCTCAACCTAATAGTTAAAAGAAGAGCGTGGTGGTTGTGGTGGTAACACCGATTCACAGTAATTTCATAGGCTTTGGGAAAGAACTGAGATTTATGCAAAGCACGTTTGTCCTTTCTGAATCACTTTCTCATGACTGATAAAAGGAGGAAAGATACGTCACAACACTGGCCCAAAAGGCAGCATGGCACCTAATGAGGGACTTTGCATCTAAGACAAGGAGGCTTTGGAGTTCTCCTTTGATATTACTAAAGAATCGAGATCTCCCTCCTACTGGGGATGAGATAACCACTTCAAGGTCAGACACTTTAGATGGCTATCACTGGCAGGTTTTAACAATGCCTTGAAGCCTGCTTTGTGTCTCAAGTGTAGCCAGAAATATTCTGCTGGGTGGACCTTGAGTGGACCAAAGGTTTGGCAGGTGTACAGCTTAATATAAGAGAACCAGGGTCTGTTAGTTATATTTGAAAACCATTCTCTTCAAGGGAGACGACTGTTTGTTTAGCCTATTACACATCAACATTCAAAGTAAAACACCCACTGAAAGTCCAGTAACTGAGCCTGGGCATGTATAATGTGCATGTAAACACTCACTAAAGATTGCCATAGTATAGCTAAATTCAGCGTCAATAAAGCAGACCACATTCATTTAGCAGTCATATATCAGCTAAAAAGAGGAATGCATTAACTAACACATGACAAGGATGACATTTTAGGCATTATCCTCAAATACTGCTGCATCAGAAAAACACTATCATTATAAAAGCACTATTACCAGCATAGGCCTAAATCAGGTGCATTAACCTTTTTATCACACCAATTCACGTGTTCTGAGCCACAACCATTTACAGTAGCTGACACCTCAAGCACAGCATACAGTAAGTAAACCAATCAGAAACTGGCCTGATCAAATGCTAATGTAAGCATGCTAGAAGAATTAAATAATAATAATAATAATTATTATTATTATTATAATAATTTGGAACATGTACCGTGCTCATCTTCACTTTGCATCTTAGCATGCTCACATATGCAAATTTAAACCTAACACAAAAGACAACTGATCCCGATGGGAATGTTATTTTGTATTTTAAATACATTTTTTCACATGATCATGGCAGTAGGGTTCAGGGATGATGAAAGTTGATGTAATTCATCCTTAGGGATGAACCTGAATGTGAACCACAAATGTCAACTTGCTGGTGGTGTTGCAGAAAAACAAGGTGATTGCCAATGTCATAAGGACATAATGCCTGCACAAAATTTAATGGCAATCCCTCCAATAACTGAGGTATTTCATTCACACTGACCAACACTGCCAATCTTAGAGCAATACACCAAGCTGGAAAGCACTTAAATTAATATAATGTGGACAAGTATACAGTTTAGAAAACCAGTTGATTGTAGAACTGGGAGACCAAATAATTGCAAAACCAGATTCTTGTTGATAATTCTTGTTGTTCATAATCTAGATCTCCTGCAGTGTGCTTGGACTTTTAATAACTACGTGTGGTATGTCCACTACATGCGCGACTTAGCAAACCTGCAAAATATTATCACTCATCCTGACTTAGCCCTGTTTGCTGTCCTGAGCCACATTCTTACTTCCCCAAGTCCCTGACATTCTCCATCCCACAAGCAGATGTCATTATACTTCCCCACCAGTTCAAGTCACCAGATCCTCCCAGGCCAGTCATACACCAGTTCTCAGTTTCCACCTACTTAAACCAGCCATTTCCACCAGCTCCTTGACAGATCCTTTTGTGTCTTCAGTGCTTTAAAGCCATGGACGTCCATTCTGTGTCTGTATCCCTGCCTGTTTACCTGTAAGCCTCAGTCATCATCATTTCTACTAAACTTACTTCACAGTATCCATCTCATGTCTGTATTTGGGTCCTCCTGCCTGTGATGACGACTCCGACAACGACTGTCTGTATTTGGGTCCTCCTGCCTGTGTTCCATGCACCATAGATGACACAGCTAAACCAACAAGTCAGTCCTGTTTTGGTTTCTGCCTTTTATTGCATAGAAAGTCTTTTACTTATGCCAGAGCTTAAAGGTCCTAACCTCTACATGACAGTCTTCCACCTTCAGCCCTTCTGTTGTTGTTCCAGCTTCTCTACCCTGTGTTGTCAGAGTCTGGTGCATGCCAAGAGTCTTTCAAACTGCAAATATTCATTTCAAACAGCCAGTCATAGAGGGCCAGAGTTAACAACGGTTTGGCTTTTTGAGATGAGAGCATTAAAAGCAGCCAAAGGACTCAAATTTGATTCAGATGTGGTGTTCTTCCTACTGGATGTGTTAACGAATGAGTTTGTTTTGGTAGCATTAGCTACTTGGAATGGTCATGGTTTTATCTTTGTGTTTAATCAATATGATTTTAATTTCTGAATAATTTGATCTTTGTGTGACTTTAGTGCTTGTGTGACATTAGCAGTAACGAGAGCATTCGACTAGATTTCCAAATTTACCTGTTAAGTCAGCTAACACTAACACTGGAGGCTGCTTTTTATACAGTTTGTCACAACCTGGTATATGTCGTTTACATGGTTGCATGGTTGTCTGAGTCTCACTAGATCCTCTAGCAGCAGAAAAGAAATTAGGCAGTGTAGCTTTAAGTGCAGAAACCTTTTTTTTTTAAGTTAAGAAATATACTTGCAACAAACTCTGTATGAACAACTCCATATAGGTATGGTAGTGTTCCCAAAAGATTTGAGACTTTATATTGTAAGAAATATTGACTTATCATGGGGAAATTTTTTTATTTTTTGAGCCATATTGTCCAACACTAGTTTATAGTAAAAGCTCGAAAAGCCTTGGGCAACAGTCACCTGAGAATAACGGATGCATGTTTATTTTCCTTCAAATGTTATGGTTTATGAACTCATGGAGCTAATATTTTCAGTGATGAAATAACATCTAATCGACAGCAAAAATAAAATAGGACAAGAGGACATAACATACTGTAGGCTTTCACTATGAAAAGCAATTTCAAACATGCTTGTAACCATCGGTTATGCTGAGCAGTTGATACAAAAAGTGGGTTATGTTTCTGTCATATTTGATAGTTTGTTAAATTTATGTGTGTATCAAAATGCAAATAAAGGTGCGTGTTAAACTGTCATGTCATTATACTTTAGCTGACACAAATGTTTGGCACAAGGCCACCTGTCTCTACATACAGTGGTATAATGGATATGTGTGAGTGAACAAAGCAGCTAGCAAATGCTAACGTCACAAAGAGGAGGACTGACATTTTACATCTAAGTTCTGAGGATGGATGGAGAGTAAAATAGCACTTTCACGGTTTTTCAATTAATTGGAATAATTATACTATGAATTATATAGAAAATGCTCAGTGTACAGTAACAAGGTTTTCCTACCGTTTCCAATTATCGCATCTGATCACATCAAGAGTTGAGTCACAGTGAACAAACAAATCACCACATCCAACAGTGATTTCATACTCATTTCCAACTGCCACCGTTTCATGTAACTGAACAAGCACTGATATTTCACTGCCGTGGCAGGGAAATGGCAGGCAAAACCACATTAAATAAATCACTCAGACAGAAGCTGCTACATCAAGCTGAGAGGTCATCACTGAAAGGACCAGAATGAATACTGTCTCCAATTTCATATAATTGGTCAAACCATGGAAATTGGCTGCTGAGTTTATGTACATGACCATTTCTTTAAATACAGTACAAGGACTGAAAGGCAAAAAGTACAATTTCTCTCCTTGACTTTGCAGATTCTTACTATTTAAATGCAAATTGCCTTGCAGTCTGGGCGGGGGGAAATCCACAGAAATGAAGCATGGTTTCTTTTTCTTTTTTTTTGGTCACAATAATCAGAGAGACTCTGTGAAAAGCTGAAGTCTAATCAGAGAAAAGTGTTAAGGCAGCAGGCAGGTTCCTGGCAGGCAGCTGTAGTGCCTTTGAATACTTCCTTGTACCTTTTCTTGGAGCTCCTGCTTCTCCTTTGTGGCTTCTTCCAACTGGGCCTGCAGGTCACTGATCTGGCTCAAGTCCCGGGCAGACTAGCACAGGGCAAAAACACACACACACATACACGCGTGTACAGACACACACACTGTTGGTCATCAGAGAATAAGGATTTGTGTATGTGTGTGTGTGAGGGAGAGGAAGTGTGTGTCCACCTATGCTTCAATTGTCTATTAAAAATGACTCCTAATGTAAATGGTTGACAAACATAATACATCTGTGCCAAATAACTTGTCATGTGATGTGCTGTGGAACAGATTGCATCTCCCTGATTGCAGAGCGCACACTGTGTTTAGAGGGGAGTATGTCCTCCAAAACTCAAAGCCACTCTACTCAGACATGCAGAAGAGAATATTAGTGTCGATGAAAGTGATGGTATCATACAATGATTCAAACTAAATAAACAAAAAAATTATTTCTAAAAGATAATTACAGAGAGTTTTTTCACAATTAGAATTTTGTGGATTGTGTCACCATTTCCTTCTCATGGCTATTCTACCTAAAGGGGAAGGCGTTAGCATGATAAGAGAGGGACTCTCAGTACATTTGCAAGGCTTTTGAACAGGTCACAGGTGTTAGGTGGGTTGAGTTACCTGGGAAACTGCAGCCTTATGTTTCTTCATCAGTTCATTCATGTCTTCCTGATCTTCCTCCATGCGAGACTGCAGGTCATTCTTCTCTCTCTGCAGACGGCTAATCTGCTCCTCCAGCTGAGAGACAAAGGAGAGAAGGAAATGCACACTTTAGTTTAGAATGACAGGATTTATTCATGAGCTACTGAATATGATAAATGGTCATTAGGCTGGCCAGGCCGTGGCAGTCCTGGAATCTCATCTAATGGCAATGAAACACAATCTGGACGGGTTTCTGGCTGGAGGATGAGACCAATTGGAGATAATCAATTGGCTCATTTAGGCCGAGAAAAGTGCAGCCAGTTCAGCATACTGGTGATGTCCTATTTAGAGTTCATCCTCTGTGTTTAGGGGGGTCGACTCAGGCCCTCAATATTCATTCTCTAATCTGAGACATTTACAAGACCTTCCCTTGCCATAAATGCAGCAATTAACAAGCAAAGCACAGGCACACGGTGCTCTGTGTGCCTTCCCCAGAGACACAAACATCCTCAGTCTACAAGTCTGAAATGCAGGCAGCACTCTCAGGAGACAGCCATTAATGAGCAGATGGAGGGGAAAAAAAAGACATTCGACAAAGCTTATTTATCCATTACAGAAAAATGTTTAAATCAGACATATGCCAAAGGGCATTTATTATTTTAATATCCCACCATGGCTTGATGATGTACACATATTAATGTTGGAGCTCTGCTGCATTTTGAAGAGTGAAAATGGGATAGACACAAGTCCTCCATTAATTAAATGTTATTTGTTGTTTTTGGTTTAATTTGCCGATCAAAAAAGGGCATAGAAGCATTTACACAATATTTGTCTTATTAAAATTATAAAGCATACAAAGGGCATGTATATTCATTATGTTTAAATGTGTGATATTCTGCATTCTACTGATTATGGTGCAAAAAACACACAAAAACATACTCTTAGACACAACTGATACTCAAGTCTACTTAAGTGAATAACTGGAACACAATTAGTGCAGTTCACTTTACATCATATGTTGAGCCCTCAGGACACACAGTTAATAGATGTCAAAACTCACCGCCATCTTAGCTTTGACCACATCCTCCATTTGGATATGCAAGTCCTCTATTTCCAACTCCATGCTCTTTCGAGCCTTTACTGCTGCTGCGGAAGTGAACTCTGACTCCTCCAACTGTGAGAAACAGAGGGAAGGAAAATGTACCAGGGCAGGAGGTGAGGGACAAACAAGAATCTATCCTGCACAAGCAGAGGATTGAGGAAGTTAGAAAACAGTTTTTTTGTTGTATTAGTAAGTATATCACAGATTCAAACCGTCGTCTACTCAGACACAGCAAAGTGCTCAGTAGAGTGGCATACTTGATTTTTGAGCTGGGCAATCTCCCTCTTGCTGGGGGCGTTACTTTTCAGGTGGTCCAGCATAATCTGTGCATCAGCCAGAAGGACTTTGGTTCTCTTCAAGTCTTTCTTGAGCCTCTTCTCTGTCTCCACATCCTTCTGGCTCACCTGGATGACAAAACAATCCTCTCCAGCTAAAATTGTTACACATACTGTTTTTTTTTTTTTTTACCCTCATTCAAAATCCATAGCACCTCTCGAGATTCAAAAGCAGTTTCTTTCCAATCAAAAGAAGTGCTCCACACTAAATCGCACACTTAATTGAAATGATTGAGACCAGAGGCAGAGTGGTGGAAGTACCTGGTCCTGGGTTTTCAGCAGTCTGGACTCCAGCTCTCTTCTCTCGCGCAACACTTTCTGCTTGTCTTCATACTCCTCCTCCAGCTGTACCTCCATCTGTTTCAGCTGCAGGACACATGCACAACATGTCAGGATGCACAAACAGATGACCAGTGATAAACAAAGTCAGACATAAGACGCTATCGACCATCCTGTAGATACGGCTGCTTTCACACGTCAAAGACAAATGGATCCCCTCCGAGCAGATGTGCGAACATAGCTGGGAAAATAAAATCTCTCTTCTATCACCTATCCATCCATTCCATTATCTATACTGCTTATCCTGAAGATGGTCATGGGGAGGCTGGAGCCAATCCCAGCTGACATTGGACAAGAGACGGGGTCCACCCTGAACAGGTCACCAGTCTATCACAGCGCTGACATGCAGACAAACAACCACACACACTCACACTCACTCCTACAGGCTATTTAGAGTCACAAATCAACCTAAGCTGCATGTCTATGGACTGTGGGAGTAAGCCAAAGTACCCGGAGAGAACCCACGCAGACACAGGGAGAACATGGAAACTCTGGGTTTGTCGGGTTTCAAACCAGGAACATTCTGTGAGACGACAGAGCTAATCACTGCTCTACCGTGGCGCCCCCTTTCTATTATATTGCAGTTGTACGCTTTGTCTGCCAAGCGTCACGTCACAACTGAGCCGATGGTTCTCGCTCTTCACTCGTATAGTCAATATCCGTACTGCAACAATGGCCCCTCATGCCAGCCACGATTCTTTTCAAAGGTAAAGTGCAGGTTCATTTGTTTTATTTTTTACTTTACAGTGTATTTTGTATTACTGTAATCATTTTTATATGGATAAGTGGGTGTGGAACGAATCATCTGAGTTTCTTTTTTTTTTTTATGGGAAATTCGCTTTGATATACGAGTGTTTTGGATTATGAGCACATTGCTGGAGTGAATTATACTCGCAATCCAAGGTTTTACTCTATATAGGAAACAAATACAACAACAAACAATATTGGTATTCTGCATCTACAGTGTTTGGTAGAATTTTTTGCTTGTTAAATAAAAAATAGAGAGACTATGTATAAGAAAATTTAGTGTAAATGAAAAGTGGGGATGAGCAGTGTCTACCTTCTTACTGCAGGACCGCCTGATTTCCTCTACTTCTTCATCCTTACTCTCAATATCTTTTGAGTGAGTCTGCCGCTGCTTCTCCATTTCCATCTCCAGCCGTAGCTTAGTCTGAGTACATGATGAGGATGTGCACAAATGATAATACCACATAAAATAAATGCACAAACAGAGAATTCAAAAGAACACATGGGACAAAGTAATAATATTTGATTATAAGGTAAGAAACACTAAGTAATAGAGGTTAGAGAGCTACATTTTAGAGTTTTAATGCTGGATAGTATGATATCATCATTGTTCTGCAGTAAACATGCAAACATTTTCCATATCAGCATGAAATACCACATTTGCACCACCCTATACCTGTTCCAGTATCTGGATGGTTCCAGCCTGTTCATCCAGCTCCTCCTCCTGGTCTTTCACCTTGGCCTCAAGGTCACGAAGCTGCTTCTTGACCTTCGCCAGTGAGGCTTCATCTTTAGACTCCTGAGAGGACAGATCCTGTAGCTCCGCCTCCAGCTGCTGCACCTTCACGTTCGTAGTGGAAAATTCACTCTCCTTGTCCTGCAGGGCCAAAGAAACACAATGAAGCACACATCTGGACCAGCCCAGTTATGTCACACAGACAACAGATACCAGACACGTAGTCAGTGAGAGAGGACATTGGAGTACATCTGGACTATGTTCTGTAAAGTAGCTTACCTGCAGCTGCTGGCGAAGGTTAAAGATCTCACCAGTCATTATGTCTTTCTCTCGAGCTAGCTTCTCCCTCTGGCTCCTCTCTCTTTGTACCTCAGTCTGAGCCTGGTTCTGCTCCAGGTCAAATCTGAAACGCACACATAAATACACTGAGAGACAGCCTTGTAAAGTTTTGAGCCTACAAAAGACTAGGGTTCCACTGGGACGAACAGTTGAGTATCCTAGTTAAATGTGAAAACATTTGTAATTAGTGCCAACAGCTGACAATTTGCTGAAGACTGAAGGCTACAGGAGATGCAGTAGATAAGACCGGAACATCAAATCATTTGGTAAGGTGCAACATAGCCATGTATGAATATTTTAAAGCAAAAAAAAGTTTAGGCAGTGAGCTTCAGTTACTTACTGTAGGAGATTTTCAGCTTATGAGACTATCCCTGACACTGAGCCAAGCATTAGTTCAACACTACCTCTATTTTAGCCTCAACAGTTATCTGCTTCCATTAGCAATCAATTTACAATTGGGTTATAATAATGTGCAAAATGTTTTCTTCAGTTGTCTAGGGCAGAAGCACTTATGGTTAGTGAACTTAACAGCTAAGTGTTTCATGCTGTCAGCTCGTTGTAATTCCCTGTTTTTCTCTCTGAAGCGCAGCTGAAAATAATTTCACCCACAGAGCATCTTCAATTAGCCACAGGGGAGAGATCACATTCTGCCACAGCGATAGCTTCTCAAGTGCTTAAAGTCTGAGTCATTTTCTCAGCTAATGCAATTCCACAGATTACAGAACATCTCAGTCACTATTCAAATTAAAGAAAACTTTAGTGTTCTGCCGAGTGGGTCAGAGAGTCTGTGCTGGGCAAGCCAAGAAGAAAAGAGCAGTATGTCCTCCCTAATGTGCGTCTATGAATGAAAGGAGGACAAATACACAGATAAACAAATAAATGCATAAATAGTAAGGCAGGCTGTGGAAACCGACTTCTTCTGTTTCTTCTCCAGATCGTGGTTGCGGCTCTGCAGTCCCTCCAGGTGGAGCTTGGTGTCCTGCAGCTCTGCTGTCAGTTTCTGGCACTTCTTCTTCAGCTGCTGTACAGAGCGCTGCACATCCTCATTATCTGTTTGCAAATCAGCCAGCTGCAGCGCGCGCGCACACACACACACACACACACATTTTTATTATTCTTTTATGACAGTTCAATGCATATCATTATTACATTTATACAACTAACAGGCTCCCAGTGTGTGGTAGTCACACAATAAATAGACTTGTTTTCTTTTTAAGTGATTTAATACTACAAAAGGTTTCTTGCCCTTCTCTCAAGATGTTTTTTGCTCTGCTGCTCTGTCTCCAGCTTGTCTTCAAACTCCTGCTGGAGTTTCTTTTTGGTCAAGTCCATTTCACGAATGGCTCGGCTGTATTTTATCCGCCACTCACCTCCTGGAAGACAGACACACAATTCAGAAAAGTCTGTGCAACATTTTCTCTATGCAGGCCCATTATGGGTTTACAGAGAAAAAGGCTCAGAACCTCAAATATGATGGATGCTGTGGATTATGGACTGCACTGCACTGGCTGCGATGGTTATCACATTCAAGAACTGGAATAATATAATCTTTCAGGAAATAAACCTCCTTTCATCAAATCCCGACCTTATGGGGTGAAAACATTCGACAGAAAACTACAAAGCAGCCTTTACATTTCATCTGTAATCTTGGGTAAACCAGAGGTAAGAATTCAGAGCACACCACAACAGTAGTTAGAGAGGGACATGTCTAAGTGGCACTTTCCACAGTTCTTAGCCGACCCTAATTCTGGAGCTGTCAGAGGCTATCAGAACTATAACAGCAGCCAGGCAGACATTCAGGTTCAGGTTCATTTCCAGGCCTTATCATTTTAGAGGCTGTCCATTTCTCCTTCACATACCAACACTGGCTCCTCCATCAGTACTGCTCATTAGCATATATATAGCATAATGACAACTTGCAGGGCCACCGGCTCTGATCCCAACGATTATTTTCTCATTCATCTAAGAATTCTGATATGCTCCATAATGGCTTGTCTGCTGAGGTGGGTTGAATGGGGGTGGGAACACCGGAAAAAAAGGCTCATGGACAATATGCTCTCAGCAGGGGCTCTCTTTCCCAGCAGGGGCAGACCAATCAGTAACAGGCATTAGTTGTATGCCTGGGAGCAAACATCTTAATCCCCTAGCGGTAAATCCCAAACTTGGAAAATATACTTAACA